AAACGGTTCTTGGAAAACTGACATAATTTTGGGTCTAAAATTCAATGTAGATTAAAATTCTCATACATTATTTTTCACTGTCACCGCTTAATTCAAACCACATGGTCTATCTTTTTTCTTGCTTTTTCTGTTCTCCTAATGTAAATCAATGTGCAAAGCTATCATGAAGATCTGAAGAATAATTTAATACCCGCAACGTGGAAAGAGAAATAAGTTGCTTGACACTTTGAAGTTACGAGTACAATAAAATTTTTGCAAGAATAACAAGATCATGAGAGGATTGCACAGAAACTTACTACAAATTTAAGTGATAAAGGAGGATCTTTTTTTAACCGACTTTAAAAAAGGAGGAGGTTCTCAATTCGTCTGTATGTTTTGTTTTGTATGTATGTTACGCGATAACTCCGGTATTTGTGAACCGATTTTCATGATTCTTTTTTTGTTGGAAAAGGGGTACTTCCATAGTGGTCCCATTTCATTTTGAAAAAAGTCATCCACCTCAAATTCACGCATGAAGATTCATTTTTGTAAATAGCGCCTAACTTTAATTAAGGAGCAATTACTTTAATGGTTGATTTTGCTATTTTTCCAATTCAAGGCGTTTTCTCTCAATATACTTTGAGTAGTGAGAACCGATTTTTATTATCCCCAGTGTCAAGTCCTGTATAGTGGCAAACTAGGGGATATTTGAATAAAACTTAGCAAATAGACGTAATTCCACGTACTTTTGAGGTCGGTTTTTTAGTACTCTATACTGATCATTAGCATCAACAATTTTCTTTTACCTTACTGCATACATTATTTTGTAATATCCTCCAAGATAATAAACATTTGACGGCCTCCGTGGTCGAGTGGCTTGCACGCCGGTTTTCATGGTGTCGTTGTCTTTGAGGTCCCGGGTTCGATCCCCGGCCGGATCAGTATAGAAAACTAACTTTTCTATATTGTCCCGGGTCTGGGTATTTATGGTACCGTCGTTGTTTCCGATTTCCATAACACAAGTGCTTTAGCTACTTACTTTGGGATCAGGCCAATGTATGTGATGTTGTCTAATGTTTATTTATTTAATACAGATTATGTGGAGTGGAGTCATTTGCCTGTCATGTATAAAAAAAAAAAAAAAAATGGAAGGACAGCGTGTACATTAATGATGCCTTGATAACTTATCTATTCGCATTTTATCTTATCCCGGACAAGTTTCAATTGAATTCTTACCTAGAAAGAAAAATTGTTAAAGTTTCTCTTACGACGATATTGAGGTGAATTGGCAAAATCCGTTTTCGACTTTATGAGCTCACTTTATAGGAGAAGTTAGTCGTAATATTTTCGGAGATTTCATTCGGTTATGTTTGAAACAAATAGCTTTAATAAAACTTGTGTTAACATCGATCCTGACTGATCTACAAACTAGTCTCAAGTTCTGAAACATTATTTATTTATTTCAATATTTTATTTTTGATATTCATTTATTTTTATTATACACATGTTAATTTACTTTTTATGAAACCAGAAATATTATTATTTATTTATTCGTTTGCTACACATATATATTTAAAATGTTACATACACCCACCACACAGTAAGGGCATAAGAAATGATAATTCTTATGAGCTACAATTTAAATTAATAACACAATTTGTTTAAAAGTAAATAGACAGTTACATAAGTAAAGTAAATTGGTATTAATATTACTTAAGAGTTATCTTCAAAATATTTATTAACTGAGTAATAGCATTTTTAATAATGTAAGTATTTAAATGATCATTTTAAATTTGCAAAAGCACCAGACAAAAAACATCTTTTTAGTGATTGATCATTTTTCTCTGAGACATAAAATAAATTAAATCAATGTATATTTTAATATGTTCTGACCTAATATTCGATTTGTATAAATTAACTTTATTAGTTTCATGTTGAGCCTCAGAACTAAGACAAATGACATTAAAAAACCTGAAACCATGTTCGGAAACGAAGCAAATTCGCTTCTGGCTCTCACCGGCCGCTGCCGCGACACGCTCGTTGCGCTCGCTCGGCTCGTGCTGCTTTTTTATATATTAACCTTGAATGGAGGGCGCAACCAAGATTTGACCTGTATGAAAAAACAGGATCCAATATTGTTTTTGACTATCAAAAATGTTAATTTAGTATGTTTAAACATAATTATAGTGTTACGTTGAATGCAGTCATTTATAATTTATCTGCGAATCAACTAATATAGACGGTTAATATATATGTATATATAACAAACATAAAAAAACAATATCGTTTATTTAAAAAAGTGCACATTTACAATAAGATCAATTATGTATTTGAGGATCAAAATAATATTATCCCTTTTAATAATAATTTGAATTTATTACAAAATTATCACCGAAATTTAAAATTTTATTATCAACTTTCTTAATAGTTAGATCACAGAGTTACAGTGTGGAATTTGCTTGAACTTCGTCTAGCATATAGTACGTAGGGAAAACTTCGTCCTAGAACTCTACGTAAAGGCTTTACGGGTGTTTAAGAACCTAAACTAACAGCCTTGAGTTTGAACCGTGTTTGTTTTACTCTTTGAAGATAATTTTATGCAGTAGTGTTGAGTTTGCGCGCGCGTTGTAAATTTGGTAGATGAGACCTGGTGTATGACGACTTTATCTTTAAAGTACAAACTTTATCTTTAAAGTACAAGTGCCCGTCTTATTGGGCACAAGCAGTTTTGCGTATAAGGTGAAAGACAGAATTATATTCTTGCTATGAAAGTTTAGTGTGTTTTTTCTTACAATATCTTGATACATAGATCGCACTGTCTTTTTCCTTGCGCGATTATCCCCGCAACTGTGAAGTTACTGGTCGGTGGTGGATCCGAACGGGTCGCCACGGGCGAGCACGGGCGCACTCGGGCGGCCGTCTTTCGAACACGCGTTTCTAAGAAACGCGCGGTGCGGGTCTCGAAGCGGGACACGGGCCATGGAAAGCTGCCTTTATACGACGTACGAGCATGAAAACCCTTTCACATTAATAAATCCCGTCGTTTTTTATCATAGCGAAAAGAACAAGAACATTTCAATAACCTGAAAGTTTGAAACTAAAATGACTTTCTCGATGAATTTAAAATAAATCGAGAACCGTAAAGTTTGTGCTCCAATTTTACTATAACCATTTTAGTTTGAAAATTCATGTTACAATCGACCTATATTGAATAGTGTTCTAATTTAAAACATAATCTTCAGCGGTTGACCGCAAATGTTTTTTCATATCTCTTGAATTATTGTAATTCCTTACACAATCACCACTTTTAGGGAAAATACGAATACAATGTGTTGATTTGCATTCTCGCTATATTTACAGAGGTCATTCTATATCCGAAACTGAACATAAATCAAAAAAATAAATAGAAAAAAAAGTCGTAATTTACTATTTATTATTTCATTGCGATAAACAAATTTCATCCAAAGGTCATGATTTACATAGGACTTGCAAACATTTTGAACAATGACCTTAAATGCGCAGAAAGAAACGCATTTTAGATGTCTTTGGTGGTGGGGTGCAGGTAGCGAAGGCGAGGAAGTGTCGTATCGAGCGCGCGATTGGTAGATCAGTCGACCTTGCTTCCATGCTGCGTATACGTCACGCTGACATCCCACATATTTCTATTCTATGGTTTGGAATGTAAACAAGAGTTAGTAGTGCAAAAAAGAACCGCTACCAGGTTCAGTAGACCCTGTATGGTAATCCATCAAGTACAAGTGCGTGTCTATTCTTAAGGCCTGATGTGAAACGTTTGGTTTACGCGGAGGATACGAGTGTCGAAGTTTCTGCTTTCAAAGTTGTGCAGTGTAATGTTGAAACGAAACTCACGTGCGACTCTCTGCATGTGAAGCTGGGTACTTCTAGCAATAATTTCATGTAACCTAAAGTTGGTAAATACCAAATCTAAGTTACAAAAAACTTTTTTCTGTCAACTTTTCGAATTAATGTAAAGAAATAGTAAATTATAACAATACTAGTACATAATCATAATTAAAAAAATAGGTAAATAAGCGATCGAGAAAGATTACGTATCCCTCGGTGAAGCGGGTGGCGGGGTCACTGCCCTTGCGTGGTGCATACGACTTCGAGACAATTTTGCAAAACTTTACTAGATACAATTAGCCAGAATAGTTTTTAGATAATATATTTTTTTTATATTTTTAGATAATTTAGCATTATGTATATTATTAATTTCTTAAAAATGGCGAGAATGCAAATCAACACACTGTATTATAGCATCAATGACATTGTAATATTTTTTTTAAATAGCAGCGTCATTTTTTATCATATCTTTAAAAATCCCGTACAAAGTTATCCGCTTTTTCCAAAATTTACGCACCGTACATATTCTCAGAGGATTGCACAATGGAATGGATAAGGAGATCCCTGGTTCGATTCCCGTTAAGACCAGTTTGGGATATGAACTTTTTTAAATTGAATCTGCTTTGGGTGTTCTGGGTTTTTTATGATACCATGTGACGCGACAAACGTGGTAAGCGACACGCCTGTTACACGCGTGTGTGTTGTACACGCGTTGCATTCAACGCCAAGGACAAAGCTCTTTCTTCAAAGCTCTTTTCTTTCGCGATTTAAAGCTCTGAGTAGCAATGGCTACTCAGAGCTTTAAATCGCGAAGATCTGAAGGGCACTGCCACTGCACCCGTCACCATGAGACATACGTTGACAAGTCCCTGGAATTTCACGCGCACCGCCCTTCAAACCTGGAACGCAGTAATGCGCACAATAGAAATAAGTAAGGTGGTAGTCTAGTACTTCGCTGGACGAACTCTTTAACAAGGAGCTCTATTACTCCTGAAAATGATAAACAAACATGCTAACTAGCTCATGTTTTGATAATCCATATTGGCATATCGTCGTAGTCAAAATGGCGCTTTCGCCCCTTTTATAATATACCGACGATATTATTATATTCTATGAATACATTAGGTTCTAATCAACGTGTATTTAATTGTCCACAGTTGGGGGAAGGGGTGGAGCTGACGCTGGGCGAGCTGCGCGCGATGGCGCTTCGGCAGCAGCAGCAAATTGACACCCAGCACCAGCTGCTCTGTGCTAAGGAGCAGCGGCTGCGGTACCTGAAGCAGCAGGAAGCACGACAGCACCAGGTTTGTACATTTCGTATAGAGGTATATAGTCGTTTCCCTCAATTCAATTCAAGATGACCAATATTCTAATTCATTTCGCGATGAAGACGCACACGTCCGTCACACTAGGATTCATTGAAAACCAGCGTCTCAGCCCATTCTCGGCTGTGGCTTTAGCTGAATGGTATCCTTTTGCATACGCCACAGCCCACATGTCAGTATATTATTAAGTTATACAGAAGAATTTGTTGTTTAGTTTGAAACTAAACAACAAATTCTTCTGTATAACTATGCTGTTTTTTGTGTTACTTGTTTTTATTTATATTATTTATTATGTTTTTTTTTCTTATAATGTGGCATTGTAATAAATGGTTTCTATTTCAATCGTATAGCTTATATTTATCTTATTGCGTATTATTATTATTAAAAAAATGCGCTCCATCAGCACTTTACGACTTATTGTTGTAATTTAAATCAGTTCAAGATCAGCCATTTTAATCATTAGCACAGTATACTCATTTTAATCATCAATCTATCGAAACTTATCATTATCAGTAATCAAGCAACTAAATCTACTTATCAATTATCTAACTGTAACTTTAACTGCCTCCGTAGCCGAACGGTTACCATTGACTGCCACGCAGAGATCCCTGGTTCGATTCCCGGGCCGGGAGAAATATTTGTATGGCCTACATTTATTTGTCTCGTGAGTTTGGGTGTAATTTGTGGTTGTCTACGTATGTGTCAATAACATAGTTAAAATAGTTCAACATAGCACCGCACAAGAGAAACCTTGTGCGGTGCTATGTTGAGTGTGTGCGTTATCAATTATTAATTAATCAAATTATCATTTTATAAGATTACACATACATCGTACGGGCTGTTTCTCTCGTTCGTCTCCTAATACATTCTAGTATATTGAAAAATAAAAGTAATAAGTATTTTATTGGATATTATGAAAATAGTGTATAACAAAGAGCACACTCAGCTCGTGGCTTGGATCCTTGTTGTCATGAGTGTTATAAAGTGTGTTGTTTCGTGCGCTTACATAAAGCCATTAAACGTTTCGGAATGCAGGAATGCTCTTTAAGCGGATCATTCTAAACGCTGCCGTATTTATGACTAGGTTGAATTAATGAATGAAAACCACTCCGCGAATTTCATTACCATCTATTCGAAACCGAGTAAATACTAACTGTCTCCTTAATAAACTTTACGGACAGCCAAGAGAAAATAAACTTCAGAGCAAGCGAGTAAATTAAGTTGGTAGTCTGTAAATTATAGACAACGATTTATTATTCCTATAAATTACCGTTTGAAAACAAGATAGCCGCGATATTAAGAGGATAGGCCTGAGAGTATACTCCGTACAAACAAGATTTTGCAATAAATATATTAAGGCAGTATACAGTTAGCGATTTTTTCTAAAAGACAAATGTTTATTGAAATAGAAATAATTTATTGAAACGCCACATTATAAAAAACACACTAAGATTAAGAGAAGACGCTGGTTTTCAATGGGCCGTACTTTGTTTTTTCTTTGTGTTTAGATATCGTGCAATGAATTTGTTACAAAGTCTACACAACCAATACACGCCTTAATGCGCTCGCGCGAGCAGGAAAGTCGATTGACTACACTTAGACTAACGAATCTCATTCGCGAATTCAAGCAAATTTTGTATGGGAATGTTGATTAAAAAAAAAAATAATAAAAAGTGTTTATTTACGTTTTCTTAAACCTAGTTTACAGCAAGTTTGCAGGGGAACTCCTTTTAAGCAAACTAATTGCTTGTGCTAGGAGACCCCGCTATTCCTAGTTAGGGTACTATGGGACCAGGTAAGTTAGGTAAGCTTAGGTATTGACTGGTTGATTGAAGGTATATTCTGCGTTGCATATCATTATAGGGATAACGCGTTTATAGTCGTGTTATAATCGCTTCATTACATAGACTTCATTATCATAAAATAAAGAATGAAAAATGAGCTTAACTATCAAAGTGCTGGGAAAGTTTGATGGTGCCGAAGAAAGACTTTTGCGTTACCTGATTGTCACGATCGAACTTATGCTCGAATATATTCGAATTGCTATCTCGCAAATGCGATTCAATCGTATTGGAACCTGAATAACTACTCTTGAAAATACATTGTAATTGTAATGTGGTAGGAACCATTATATTAATCACAATACCTGTTCTAAAACAAGACGACGAAACGTATGTGGGGATCAAATTATTATTGTATTGAAAGTGCCTCGTAAATACGGTGCATAGCTTTCAGCGAATAAGGTTCCCGCACAATGGAGCAACGAAGAATCTTGGTAACCCGTATAAACTATGTTATTATTATTTACTTACATTATTACTAGCATCGCGCTATTACCTACACTTATCCTTAATTGTCTTCTATGAAAGTGAGACAAATATTGCACAACGCTATATACATTGCACCTGCTGTATAGCTGCTCTAATGTATTTTCTATAGCGCTCAAGCATGCTAAAAGTATTTGTTATTATTTCTATAAACAAGGAAATCCTTTATTAGAATAAATTTTGTAGTTCCCTAAAGAGACCCATAGATGGCATTGATCAATTTTACGCAAATACTGAATCGTAATGTTAAGATTTTCTCAGAAATTGTGACTACTTTGACCTAGTTTTGACAACGCTAGACAACGCAAATTTTAGGAGGCATCTGGTCCGGATTGAACATTAGAGGAAACTTAATGGAAACTTTATGGGAATTGCTACACGAAACTTATCTGATTATTGATTTCATACTTTTGCATTACAAATTGTTACCTTTAGAAATTGCATCCGCTGTTCACATATTGTACGGTAAGAGTGCATGGAACTGTATATCTGATGTCTTGATTTATATCAACGGATAATAATGTTTTTTTTTTGTATGTACGTTATGCGATTACTCTCTTATTATGGAAGGTTTTTGGAGGTACTGTCTACCTCAGTATTGATTCCATTTAAATTCGAAAATATTCCTGTAAGGATGTCAAACTAGGGGATGAAATTAGTTTCGCGCACTTTTCGGTAACCGATTTCAATAAAGCTTGGCAAATAAATGTAATTCTACAAACTTTTTAGGCGGTTTTTTTTTTTAAGTTTTTATGTTTCTCTAAAGAAATCCTTACGTATATCTAATTTTAATATCGGACATTTTCGTTAAATTGTTACGTAACATTGTTGTTATTTTTTATTTTTCTTTCTAACAAAAATAGAACATTGTTTAAATGATTTGGCTGTTGTTACGAAATAATATAATAATAACGCACACACTCATAGCCTCGCACTAGGGAAATACTTTATTGCATGTGCCAAAGACACACACATACACAACCACAAATTACTCCCAAACTCACGAGAGTAATAAATGTTGGCCATACAGTCACTTCTCCCGACGTAGTAGTCCAGTGTGGTCACCGTTCGGCCACGGAGGAAGTTAACTTAAATGTCTACTTCCATCGTTTTGAGTGAAGTGCTAGCTGTAAAGATAGTATTTTGTCACTGAAATCTAGAGACAAATCGATAATGAAGATTACGCCAATTTAATTTTTGGCCATTTTCTGTTTTTAATGTAAACAGCCTTATTTTATTTACTAATATTGTTCTCCCCAAATTTTGTAAAAAATATAAAAAACGAAAAACAAAATTAAAAAAAATTAATTTGGAGAAAAAAAATAAAGAAATAAAAAACAAAATAAAAACAGAGTTGACCAAAATATTGAGATGGCGTAGTGTTCATTGGATGTATCGAACAATATTCCAACTTAAAAAATTCACCGAGCGGCGGCGGCGCAGTTTGAGAGCGGGTAGTTTTCAATTGAGATGTCGATCTTCGTAGCAGTTAAGTAGTGCTCCTTGTGAAAGAGTTCGTCTAGGGAAGTACTGTCATCTTACCTATTTCTGCCGCAAGCTGTAATGTGAGCATTACTGCATGAAAAAAAGTCTGAGTGAAACCAATATTATACCAATATTCTCGTTTATAAATGAATAATTAACTATTATGTATAAATAAAAATGATCACATTGTTCGCAATAAGTCATCGACAAAAAAAATTCAAGGTGGCCGCCATGAACAATTGACTTTTCTCAATCTTCGCAACTGTCAATGTCAAAGTCAAAGTCAAAGATTATTTATTCCATAGGTAAAATAAATTTACACTTGAAAACGTCGCATTTAAGCTACTGCTCGTTCACTACGCTGACCTCTCTGAGAAGAACGAGCAAGAAACTCTAGGGATTGCTCTTTTCAAATAAACTTAAATACTATAGAATACACTTTGAATCAAATTTCTGTGGATTCTGGAGCCGTGTCGTCTTTCCATACATCTTTATTTAATACGTAGTCTTCAATTTTGTAATATGATTTTTCGATCAAAATATTTTTAATGTAGTTTTTTAAACTTAGAAAATGATAAACTTAATATATGCTCCGGAATCTTATTATAAAAACGTATACAGTTCCCCATAAAAGAGTTGTTTATCTTGGTTAAACTAAATGATGGTACGAGTGGTTTCTTCTGTGATATTTAAGAAGAAGCCTTGACGCGATCATACTAACTACCACATATAACTGAACTGGAGCAGTCAGTAACCCTCCTACCGAAACTCAACCTAGAAAAAATCTGTACTGAAATATAAATTCCAACTCACTCACTCATCTAGTCGACTCATCCATTCAGATATTTTTTTAAATTTTCAAATTGTGTTTTCTCAATCCCACAATCTTGAGTTACAACAGTATTTCGTTTCACGTGCTATATAATAGGTTGAATATGACGATGACAATTTAAACATTATATATTGTGAAAAACACACCATGCAAAAAAATGCTAAGGCAGGAACCACAGTCTTTTATTTGTTATTTTCGTTTGTGCAAAATGTGTATTGGAAAAGTATATGCAAACTCGTGACACGTAAACCCTCGCTTGTGACTGGGACTTAAGTGCCAACTTGTTTGCACTACCTTTCCATCCTAGTAAGGCAATGTTCTATTTATTAACCGAC